GCAGACTCGCCGAGTCCATACCCTGGACTCGCCGAGTCCAAGCGCGCACCTTCGCTCAATCCCGCGTCCCTACTCGGCGAGTCTGAGCCCTGACTCGCCGAGTCCCTCTTACAAAATAATACAATTAAACTTACATTATACCTGGTAAAAATCCGGATGTTACAACTCTCCCCCACTAGAACTGGACTTCGCCCTCGAAGTCCCGCTCTAAAACAGCTCCGGATGCTGCTCCCGCATCATATCCTCCGGCTCCCAGGTCATCTCTGATCCCTTCCGATGTTGCCACTGAACCAATACCAGAGGTACCTCCTTGTTCCTCAAAACTTTGATCTTCCGATCCCTAATAGCCACTGGTCTCTCCGCATAATTCAGGCTCGCATCAACCTGAATATCCTCAAGTGGAACCACTGCCGACTCATCGGCTATACATTTCCTCAACTGCGATACATGAAAAGTGTTGTGAATCTGTCCCAACTCTGCTGGTAACTCCAGCCGATAGGCTACCCGGCCCACCCTGGCGATCACACGAAACGGGGCCAATAAACCGGGGTCCCAATTTGCCCCTCTTCCTGAACCGGATCACTCCTTTCCAAGGAGAGACCTTCAGGAGAACAAAGTCGCCGACCTGAAATTCCAATTCGGACCGGCGCCTATCCGCGTAACTCTTCTGCCGGCTCTGAGCGGTCAATAACCTCTGCCTGACCAGCTGTATCTGCTCTGTCGTCTGATTCACGATCTCTGTACTGCCCATTACCCTTTGCCCAACCTCTCCCCAACATATGGGAGTCCGACACCTCCTACCATATAACAGCTCAAAGGGCGGCATACCAATGCTCGAATGATAGCTGTTATTGTAGGAAAACTCCGCTAGAGGCAAATACGAGTCCCAACTACCCCCAAAATCCAATACACAAGCTCGAAGCATGTCCTCGAGTGTCTGTATCGTCCGCTCACTCTGACCGTCGGTCTGGGGGTGGTATGCGGTACTAAAATGCAACTTAGTACCCAACTCCTCATGAAATTTCTTCCAAAAACGGGAAGTGAAACGCACATCGCGGTCTGAAATAATCGAGATCGGCACCCCATGCCGAGATACAACCTCCCTCACGTAAACCTCGCCAACTTCTCTGCTGAAGAACTCTCACTGATGGCAAGAAAGTGAGCGCTCTTTGTCAATCTATCCACAATCACCCAAATTGCATCAACTCCTCTGGCAGTCCTCGGCAATTTGGTGATAAAGTCCATAGTGATCTGTTCCCACTTCCACTCGGGAACCTCCAATGGCTGCAACTTGCCATGCGGTCTCTGGTGTTCGGCCTTTACCCTTCGACAGGTCAAACACCTCTCGACAAACCATGCTACATCCCTCTTCATACAGGGCCACCAATACTCCTTCCTTAGATCCAAATACATCTTCGTGGCCCCGGGGTGGATCGAAAATTTCGATCTATGAGCCTCCTCCATCAATGTAGCACGGGTACCGCCCACAAACGGTACCCAGATCCTGCCCTGATAAGTCATAAGGCCTCGACTATCCGATATAAACTCAGAAACCATCCCAACAACCCGCTCTCTCTTCTGCATCTCCGGACGCACGGCCTCGGCCTGAGCCCCACGAATGGCGTCCAGAACTGGAGCTATCACGGTCAATCTCAAACATACATCTCGCAGGGGAGTACTCTCCGCCCTGCGACTCAACGCGTCGGCTACCACATTAGCCTTGCCCGGGTGGTACAAGATCTCACAATCATAATCCTTGACCACGTCTAACCATCTCCTCTGCCGCATATTTAGGTTAGGCTGATCCATCAAGTACTTCAAACTCTTATGGTCCGTGTAAATCGTACAACGAACCCCATACAAGTAGTGCCGCCAAATCTTGAGGGCGAACACCACTGCCCCCAACTCCAAATCATGTGTGGGGTACCTCGTCTCGTGAGGCTTCAACTGCCTCGATGCATAAGCTATCACATGACCCCTTTGCATCAATACCGCCCCAATCCTAGGATCGATGCATCACAGAATACCACAAAACCTTCCATACCTTCCGGAAGGGCTAATACTGGAGCTTCACACAACCTTTGGCGAAGCGTCTCAAAGGAGGTCTGCTGCTCGGGACCCCATGCAAATGCCACACCCTTCCGGGTCAATCTGGTGAGTGGAACCGCAATCTTGGAGAAATCCTTAATAAATCTCCGATAATACCCTGCCAACCCGAGGAAACTCCGTATCTCAGAAGGTGACCTCGGCACCTCCCACCTCATCACTGCGTCAACCTTGGCCGGATCGACCAATATCCCCTTCTGGTTAACGAGATGTCCCAGAAACTGGACCTCCCGTAACCAGAAATCGCACTTGGAGAACTTTGCGTAAAGTTTCTCCGCTCTCAAAACCCCAAGCACCTCCCTCAAATGCTCCTCGTGCTGCTCACTAGATCTCGAATATACCAGAATATCATCAATGAAAACAATCACCGACCGATCCAACATCGGCCGACATACCCTGTTCATGAGGTCCATGAACACAGCCGGGGCATTAGTGAGCCCAAAAGGCATCACCACAAACTCATAATGCCCATAACGCGTCCTGAATGCTGTCTTCTGGACGTCCTCGTCCCGCACTCTCACCTGATGATAGCCCGACCTCAAATCAATCTTGGAGAACCAAGATGCTCCCTGTAGCTGATCGAATAAATCGTCGATCCTCGGCAGCGGGTAACGGTTCTTGACCGTCAGCTTATTCAATTCCCGGTAATCAATACACATGCGATGCGAGCCATCCTTCTTCTTCACAAACAAGATGGGTGCTCCCCACGGCGAGCTACTCGGCCGAATAAACCCCTTCCCCAGCAACTCCTGAAGTTGCGAGGATAACTCCTGCATCTCTGGAGGCGCAAGGCGATACGGCACCTTAGCAATAGGTGCGGCCCCCGGAACCAAATCGATGCCAAACTCCACTTGCCTCGCGGGAGGCACACCTGGTAACTCTTCGGGAAATACATCTGGAAACTCCCGCACCACCGGAACTTCCTCCACAGAGCTCGGTCTCTCGGAGATCACTCGCGTATCCATCACATACGCTACATAACCCTTACAGCCCTGCTGTAAACACTGCCTCGCCCTAGCAGCCGAACAAAAGGCTGATCCAGAACGTGTACCCTCGCCGTATACTGAAAGAACTCCCCCACTAGGATCTCGTATAGTCACCACTGTCGCTCGCAATCGATAACCGCACCGAATCGGCTCAACCAATCCATGCCCACTATAACACAAACATCACCCATCGCAATCGGAATCAGGTCGATCGGAAACTCGACCCCGAATATCTCCAATACACATCCCCGGAAGACCTCTGTAGCACAAATCACTCTGTCGGCGGCTATGGAAACCCGCAGGGGCCGACTCAATACTCCACGACTAACACTGATACGCTGACTAAATGCCAAAGACACAAAAGATCGACTCGCACCCGAGTCAAATAACACTAAAGCAGGTACAGAATTCACAAGGAAGGTACCTAAGCATAGCATGATATAAGCATAATATCTCAACATCATAAACAATAATGAAAAGGAAACATACCAGCCACAACGTCGGGTGCGGCGCGGACCTCTTCCGCAGTCAGCTGGAAGGCTCTCCCCCGAGCCCTTGGTGCTCGGCCTTCACGGGCCGACTCTCTGCAGCAGCAGCTCTGATGGCGGCGGGGCAGACCCCTGAGATGCCCGCGCAGCAGTGGACACTCCGCCTTCCGGTGTCCGGTCTGGTTGCAGTGGAAGCACACTGCAAATCCCTTGGGGCAGTCCTTAGCCATATGCCCCTCCTTGCCACATTTGTAGCAAGACCCTGCCCGACAGGCGCCATCGTGACCCTTGCCGCACTTCCCACAAGTGCGGCCCTTCTGGCTCCCGGGTCTGGGATCAGCGGGCTTGGCCCGCTTGGCTGCCGGCTGGGACTGTGCCGGCCGCCGATCCCTCCCCATAGACTCCGCCTCCTCCCTGGCCTGAGTCTCAAGCTCAATCTCCCTCTTCCGAGCATTTGCCTGAAGCTCGGCAAATGTCCGGTACGAGGAGTTCGCAGCGAACTCCCGAATATCCCGTCTCAAAATGCTCAGATAACGGCTCATACGTGCCTGCTCGGTGGATACGTGCTCAGGGCAAAACATCGCCCTCTCCTGAAACATCCTCGTAATCGCTGTAACTGACTCGGTACCCTGCTTGAGGGTCAGAAACTCCTGTGCCAGACGTTCCCTCTCCACCTGAGGAACATACTCATCTCGGAACATGGAAGTGAACCTCTCCCAGGTCACTGCCGCAAGCTCGGTCGGTGTGAAATGCGCAGTCACAAACTTCCACCAGTCCTTCGCTCCCAAGCGAAGCTGGTTCAGCGCGAACCGAACCTTCAAATGCTCAGGGGACGAGCAAGTGAAGAAGCATCCCTCCATATCAGATATCCACCTCATAGCTGCCACCGGGTCCTGTGTACCATCAAACTCTGGTGGCTTGGTGTTGCTGAACTCCCTGAACAACATCGCATCACCTCCCTGGGGTCTTGCCGCAGCAATCGCTGCGGTAGCTGCTGCAACCGCAGCCTCAGAAAGAGCGGCATAGCGCTCGTCAAACGTCTCAATCAAAGCGGTCTTAATGGACCCGAACATCTCTGGTATCTCGGCTCTGATGACCGCAGCCACCTCCTCATGAATGATCTGTCGAATGTCCTCATCACTAGATCCGGCATCCTCCGGCATGTGTCGTGTCCTCACCATGATCAACCTCTGAAATACAACATGTGATAATTAGAATTCACTCGAACACCCTTACATTCAACAATCCACCCCTCCTTGATTCTTGGCATCCCC